AAAGCCTAAAATATGTAATGAACGACTTTTATAAATTGAGTAAATTATCCTGGTTAGTTTCAGTCTCAGGATATATCATTTATTTAAACATATTTTGTGCGAGGTAAGCTGTCATCAATATTATATTGACAATATAGATTCTATTGGTAATTTTTGGTAAAAAAGTACAGTACTGTACCCTTCTCATTAAAACTTTAACTAGATGATTTATTATATAAATTTTTGTGCGAGGTAAGCTGTCATCAATATTATATTGACAATATAGATTCTATTGGTAATTTTTGGTAAAAAAGTACAGTACTGTACCCTTCTCATTAAAACTTTAACTAGATGATTTATTATATAAAATACAATGCAATTAAAATTCTATGTTTATGGTCGGCATAATTAGCAAACAATTGTCATAAAATATGGTATTATTGTTTAGATTAGATAAAACATACAATTCATTGCAATAATAGGTGAATTGTTGCAATTGTTTGTAAATAAACTGTCATTATAAAATAAATATGCGCGATAAAACATGTTGCTATTTTTATTGGATATGTGTTCCCATGAGACGAGGTGGCCGAGTGGTTAAGGCGATGGACTGCTAATCCATTGGGCATTGCCCGCGTGGGTTCGAATCCCATCCTCGTCGGGAAAACTATATTTTTTGTTTTTTATTTAAATAAATATTTTGCTAATCTCTATCGCAAATGTTACCGTAATCTGAATTATTCATAAAGATGCCCTATGTTTATAAATTAGCAATTAATTAATTATTTAAGTACTGTATTCTCATTATAATTCATTTTTGTAATTATGGTAATATTTTTTCATTCAAAATAATGAAAAGCAATTTGATTGTTAAAATACATGATGATAATAAGGAAAATCATTTAATAGTGCAATAGATGGCCTGAAGGTTGGCCTGAAGGGACTGAAGGTACCGGTGCTCTCATCAGACAGATCTCATTGAAGTGCATATGATTTGAAGGTCGGATTCATTATAATGTTTACCATAAACTCGTGCGAAGGTCTTATCAGTGTTGCTGATTGTCTATTGAGTATGCATTCAATGATTTAAATGTCACTTTATTTCACAACAAAGACAATGTGTTTGAAATGAGTTTAAAATGTCATTTTTAACAGTGATATTTAATTATGTGACTGATGATATATGGACCATCATTATTACCCTGTTCATCGCGTTCGGTGTTTATAAATTGGTTAGACTATACGCGTGTGTTATACGACTGCCTCCCGGACCCATACCTCTACCACTAATAGGGAACTTATGGATATGTTAGTACTTTATATATTATTTTATGTTATTTAAATATTAATTAAAATATTCATTTGGATATTAATTAAATATACTACTTATTTTTATTTTATACTGTATTATTAATTATTTCTATATTATAATCTTGATAATATAATTGTTTGTCAACTGATTAGGGATAGGAAACAAGTTACATATCGATGTTAAGTTTGGGGAGTTATGCAAAAAATACGACCCGGTGTTCACGTTATGGGTCGGACACATGCCGGCCATCTTTATAAACGACATCGATTTGGCCCGAGAGGTGTTTCGCAAGACTGACTTTGCCGGCCGTCCGGCCAGTAGTTATACAAGTAAGTCATATATTATACATTGATTGCCATGTTATGGTTAAATTCATAAATTGTTATTTTACCAAGGTACTCTGTTTTCCAACGATGAGTACACTGATATAGTATTCGCCGATTTTGGCCACAAATGGGAAGCCCTAAGACGTGTCGCTCATTCGGCCGTACAGTTAGTAAATAAAAACTGTTTGAATAAACAAATTAATTAAAATGCATTATATTTTGTGTAACCCATAGAAAATATGCGGCGAGTGATAAACTAATGTATACGGCGGCTGATTGTGTCGATTACACCATTAAGACAATTGTGGACAGAGAGGGCATTGATAAGCCGTTTAATCCAATACCTTATATTCATCACATGTTGGTTAACATACTGTCCGCCAGCGCTTTCAATAAAAGGTTAGTTGCATTAACTTAGTTGTTATTTAATTTAGTTTTGAGCAAATTGTTCTATGAATAATATTTTGGTGTTAATTTATACAACTCAACTAGGTAATCTATAAATAGTATAAAACACAAAAACACTAATGTATTAATTTTATTTAAAATAAATTATGTTTAATTATAATTATTTTACATTGTGTAAATTAATATCATTTATTTTATTCATCAAAATTTGATCAATTCAGTCAATATAATATTACTGTATTTAAGGCAATATATTCTGGTTGTGTTGATACTAATTGAAACATTATTGTTGTGCCCAATGAATGACCAGACTTTCTAAACATAATTAGATTTTTAAAATAATTAATTATCAACATTAAATTTAATAACTTTTAAATNAAGGCAATATATTCTGGTTGTGTTGATACTAATTGAAACATTATTGTTGTGCCCAATGAATGACCAGACTTTCTAAACATAATTAGATTTTTAAAATAATTAATTATCAACATTAAATTTAATAACTTTTAAATAAAAATTAAACGGTAATAAATAATTGCTATGCAAATCAGTAAACGGATTAAAAAAAAGTAAAAAAAATACAAAAAAAAAGTCTACGACACCGGGTATGCCTGCGGTGGTCTCCCTCCCAAGTACTAACCCGGCAAAGACGCTGCTTAACTTCGGTGATCGAACGAGAACCGGTGCTTTCAGCGTGATATGGCCGTAGACAACAACCCATACACCAGTACTGCTATTCATTGATAATATAGCTGTTGTACGCATGCGTGTATGGGTTGTTGTCTACGGCCATATCACGCTGAAAGCACCGGTTCTCGTTCGATCACCGAAGTTAAGCAGCGTCGAGAGGGTTAGTACTTGGGAGGGAGACCACCTGGGAATACCCGGTGTCGTAGACTTTTT